TTCCGACAGGCCTGGGGCTAAAGAGCTTCTGCCCCTCTTCTCGAATGGTATGATTGTTGTGTGGTTTTAAATTGTGTATTGTTTGTTTTGTCTTTTTATCCCCTGTTTGTACCTCCTTTCCCTGATTGAGTTGTGAGCCGCCCTGAGTCCCCTTCGGGGAAAAGGGCGGCATATAAATGAAATAAATCCAAATCCTAATCCTCATGTTTAAATCCTTAGCTGTGCAAACCAACAAGCCATGTTATTAAAAAAAAGTACTGTTTAAGATTAAATATCACTTTGTTCTTGTAACTAAGCACGTATTATCATAATCATTAATAAAATTTGGTATGGATGTCCTATCTAGGAGACTCCTATGCAGCAACCCGATAAGAGGGAAAGCTGTCTCTTTATTTTGTGAAGGGCCCAAAATGAACCCATGAATGATATTTCGAAACTTAATTGCTATGAATAAATCAATCATAGCTTACCTCACTGATAGGCTGCCCGTGGGAAGTCAACTCCAAATCTTGAGGTCTTGTCACCTTGTCAATGTCCAGGGAGTCCATACTGGATGCTGCAGATGTGATACTAGATCGGGAGGAATTACTGATAGAGCGGACTTCAGCATCACTCACAGTACCAGCTGATGCTGTCCTCCTATGCTGAATAGCAACTACAGGCTTGCTATCTTCAATGATCGATTGCTGAGCCGCTTCATCCATACTTAGAGATGCTTTCTCTAGTTGCGCGGTGATGTCATCCAGAGAGAAGACAGCGTGGGAAGGCTTTGTTACGTGACTAGTTGAAGATAATCCTTTCATGCTACTGTGCTTGGAAGGCAGTCGGCTACCGCTTGATAGTTTCTGGGTCATTTTCCCTTCTACGGGAAAACATTTCATGGATGCGCTGTTGGCGGACTGGGACCCAATGCTACTGAGCTCCTGCTCTATGGAACAAAGATCTGCCATAAGAGCATCGAGATCCACAGTCTCACCTTGGTTCAAGGCTTCTGCAGCGAATGACAAGAACATAAAACAATATTCCAATTTCAATTATTGGATTCCACTATATCAAACATATTTTAGTTTAATGTTATAGGAACGGTTCCAGCACAAAACCGCGGTTGACTAAAGCGCATGTCATTAAAGTGCGGTGACAAAACTGCGCTGTCAAAACCGCGCCGACAACAGCGCGCCGACAGAAGCGTGCTGTAACATAACTCTAAAAATAACCCTAAACCTAACCCTAAACCTAACTAAACCTAACCCTAAACCTAACCCTAAACCTA